TTAATTCACATCTGCTTTGGGATTAATCAGATTAAAAATATTAATCATTTGACAGCCCTAGTAAAAAATATAAATGCTATTTAACTTAAATATTCTGAAAAGGATAAAAATTTGAAAAAAACAAAATCCGTAGCAGTCATCTCATGAATGACATTTTTGATTTGTGAAAGAATAAAATAACACAATGTTTGTGAAACTTGGGTTGCAAAATCGGTACAGAATGATAATAAAATATACCAAGTTGTTTTGATCGATACTGTTGATGGATAAAAATGTGCGACAGGTAAAGTTGTCCTTCAGAAAGGCAGCCCTGCAGCAGCTGAAGGAAACACGGCAGTCTGTGAACATTTACACTGAAAACCATGGTGTATTTGCATGCTGAGTTGTGCACCGGGGCAGCATTAAACTTTAAAGCAACAACCGTTGAAAAATTGATGACCGTGGTCTGGTGACAAGCTGTGGCAGCGGAAGAGATGCTCGGAGACGTTTAGGTGTCAGAGGACATCTCGGAGGCTGCAGAGGGAAACATTTTACTAATACGTGCCTTGGATGTTTTTTCTCCAGCGATTGTTTGGATAAAAATAGTGTGAGGCTAACTAAAGCTGATGGTAAGTGAACAGTTTAATGAAATGTAGTTTACCTGATGGCTGGAGAGTTTTTCATGCAAATACAGACTGAAAATGCTTAAATAAAGGTCGCTTTAAAATTTCTGACAATTGTCCCCCTAAAGATACAACACAGAGGAGTTCAACACTCATCTGTTTAGTGGATTTTCATAGTTTTTTTTTCCTGTGGGGTTAATATGATGTTTGGCATGTCTGTGTTTTTGTAATATTTATAAAACTAAATACTAGTTTTGTATTGTAAAAATGTGATTAAAAGAAATAAACGTATCAGTTTTTGATCAAGAAACAAATAATGGAGCCTATGAAAACAGTTTTTTATTTCTGTCTTCTGGAGCTATAAGCATTTGCCATCCTTCTGAAACTTGTAGGCTCGGTTATTTTTAGCTGCTGTTTTGTGGAAATTATTGGAATCATCTTGTCTTTGCCAGTGTTGAATTATAGGCCTGTTGCGTTTGAATAAAGAGAGCTGTCATGCCTTTATCTGGTGGAATGAAGGGGGTTTTACACTCGTGAACCTTTTTATTCCTAACATTTTACAGCTTTTCATAATTAATTACATTTAAATGGTTGCTTTTTACACACCCAACAAAATGTTTTCTGTTCTGCCTTTTTTCTTCTTTGTGTAATGGATTTGTTGTTTATTCTTTCAGGATCCATCAGTGCAACAACAGAGACGGAGCAATCCTGCAGGGTTGGAGGAGTACAACCCCTTCACAGATGCCAAACAAGTGAGTACCTGACCTGCTTTGTACACAAAATACATTGTTTTGAAAGTACTTTTGGATCCAAAAGTGATCCATGTAACACAGCTGTTTCCTTGTCATGTGTGAAACTCAGAGGAATTAATACAATCTGTGCTGAATGTTAAAAATACATTTGTGAAGTCCCTCAACAGATGCAGACATTTCAGTTGTCCCGTGTCTTCTTTGAGGTGACACTTAAATAAAATAAGTATATTAAAGAACAAAAATGTTATTTAAAAATAGAAAAAGTGTATTGCTGGGTGGTGCATGATACTTGAAATTTGTTGAAATATAAATTTTGAACTAGATTGTTAAAGGGCCAATATTATGTGTTTCTCAGGCATACGTACAAATACTATACCATAATAAAGTATCTATGTCACCTTTAGCTGTTATTAAAATGCTGTTTTTATGTTTAAATAGAAAATAAACTTATCTTCTCATCACTTCCTCTTCTAAAAGCCTTGAAATTGGCCTCTGTCTCTTTAAGCACCTCCTCCTGCTTCTTTCCCATCCATTTTAAGGGGGGGTGTTAGCGCATGTGCTATGATGCAGTTCACTTGGCATCTGAAAACACATTTCCTCAAAGGTATTTTGAATCTGAAAAGAGCTTCACTGAGTGAGAACTAATGTTGAGAGCTCAGCAGACAGTTAGGTTTCACTTTCACTTTAGAGCCTGCAGGAGTCATGGGCGGAGTATGTGGGGAGGGGGGGTGCTCTCTGCCATGAGGAAGTTCAGCTTAAAGACACGTCCCCGGGGCGTTTCTGGTC